TGGCGTTTAAATCTTTAATTGAGCCCCTCGCATTCTGAGCTGTGGCAGCGTGACAGAAAAAAAATGGTCAAGAAGAAGAGGAGGAGGAAGAGGAGGAGGGGGAGGAGGAGGGGGCCTAGGAAAATGACGGTGTGTAAAATACATCAAGTTTCATATGTGACAAACCAATAGACTCCAAAGCATATCCATAGAGATGCACAGACACATCATGCAGATTTCTTCTATCTCCGTCAGGACGTGGCATATATATATAAGATCCATACAAAATGCCCAGCCCTGCCACAGCGCATGAATAACACAAATGTATGCAGCTGAAGTGGTGCGATGTGGAAAATGAGATCAGTCAGGGAGCCTTTGACCCTGGCCCGTGGCTGTACAAGCATGTGACAGTGAAACAGAGGAGAGGCACATGGAGAAATAGTATGCGTGCATGTTCCACTGGCTTCATACAATCATTCTATATGCAAAGTGTTTCTGTTTTTAGACAGAGTGTGAATGTATCAGGCACGCACACAATATATGCAGATATGGATAAGGAGAGAAGTAGCGTGATCTTTTCTTCAAATAACTTAAAGGTCCTATATTACACAAAATTGCCTCTTGTGAGCTTTAAATCATGTTATAATGTTGTTACCTCCTCAAACACAGACCTGGAGTTGTGTCTTATTTCATTCACATGTTTGAGAAACCCTTTGTTATTAGTCTGTCTGTATCTCCATAGCTCAAAAAGCTCCTTTCTACCTTGTGATGTCATCAAGAAATAGTTTTTAAGGTACAAGCTCCTTTTACCTTTTTTCACTACAGATATGTAATTATCCAAATGATCCTAGTGAAGGTGTATGGAGTTTTAAAAGACAGTGCAGCACTTTCTGTATTACTCCATGACATCACAAGGTGAAACAAAGTGTTTTGCATTTGAGAAAAGAACTCACCCTAAATAGGTCTAATTCAGGGTTTGTGTGTTAAACATGTGAATGAAAGTAAACGCAAATCTTTTGATGAGGAAACATAGATCGGAACATAGTGTAATATGAGCCCTTTAAATATGATGAAATGCTAAAATCTTGATTGCAATGGTCAAGTTTTGCACTTTCATCTAAATATTATTACCTATAATATCAGCGTGTCTTAGCACTAACATCTTACTATTTTACTGGCGGTAGCTGTAGGATGAGCAGTATAGACATAATCGTAAAAAAGTACTCCAAATGTACTGAAGGAGAATGTGTCACAGTTATACCATCTTCAGTACCAATAATATTATTCAAAGCAAAACAGGATTAAGGTGATTGCCTCCAACAGCTTCCAGTTTCAAGAAGCTATTGTTGCCTTTTTCTCTATGGAGCTTTTAGCTGACTGCTCTAATAATCATGAAGACAATCCTGAGCCACTGAGATCTGACAGAAATCTTACTTCTTTCTGTCTCTATCTCACAAAGTCAACTGAAAATGCACACAGAAAAACAGATCACTAGAACAATAAAAATGATTACTGACTGATGACCTGTAATGAATAGTAAAATTGCTCCCTTTGGTATAATTTTCAGCACAAATAGATCCTGTCAGAATGTTTTTATTATCTCCTGATTTGCAGGGCAGGGCAGTGACCTTCTCCAGAGACAGTGAAAGCAGCAGTGAGACTAAAGTGTGCTCAGGGACAAAAGAAACACAGACCCCTGTGGAGCTGAATAATGCCAAAGTCCAAATCTTTGCCACAGCTCAGCGGGGTTAATATTAGGCCCAGGCAGAGCGGCTTAGGCTGCTCTCCTGTCTGCTCTGTCTTCTTTTAGTCCTATTCTGCCTCTGATAAAGTTCAACTCAAAGCACCCAGACCCATGTGACATTAAGACCATGCTTTTCTCTTCTCTGTTCTTGTTGACATTGGCGGCACGTCTGCTGTAATCAACAGGATGTACGGTCCAGAGGGTTTCCAGGATCTCCGCATTGATGGACACGCTCCGAATAGCGGCGCCCGCTGAGGTGTAATGGCCTACTGGTGGTCCGCTAATCTCAGCCAGGCAGCCGCGCGCTGTCCTCTCCTCCAGCAGCCACAGGATATGAGATGCTGATCAGATTTCTATAATCAATTTAGCAAAGCAGGAGGTATAAATCCTGTCCATTCACTCCGTTCGCCGTCTGCCTGTGTCTGTCCCTCCCTCTCTCCCTCCCTCCCATTGCCTCGGCCCCCTGCTTATAAATAGATGAATAATTCAGCAGCCAATGTGGTGAAAGGTGGAGTAAACAAGTCTATTGCCTAATATCCCGAGAGGCTGCCAACGAGAGACGAGAGAGGGCATAGAGCTCGCGCAGACCGGGGATGGAGCAACACCAGAGGAGGGTGTATGCATATCTGTGCAAAGCCCACCACTCCACCACTCTTTCCTCATGACCTACACTTATTTGCACTTAGATGACACAAAGGTTGAAGCAAAATGGCACACAGCTGGCTTCCCAGTGCTTCTCTTTGCATTTCCTCTCCCGAGCCACACACTGGTAGCCATTAATAATGAAATCATCGGCTGAAACACAACACCTGGAAGATAGGGTTGGAGAGAGTTCAGGGTCTGTGTGTGTGGGGGCCGAAACAGAAAAATGAAGATAAAATAATACAGAATGTGACTTTGTGTCCACCTGCCCGATGTCAGGGAGAATAGCTCTGTTCTGCTCTGGAGAGCTAAGTAAGTTTTACTAAAACAACATAAGGCAGACAGAGCTGCCCATGAATCTATGCATGAATCAGCTGCAATGTGTGGATTGCTCTTCTGACCTCACAGCAACAAGGTCCTACTTCTACCCCCTAATCAACCTAAACCTGCTCAATAAACTATTCGTACAACTGCATATTCCAGCTGCACCACACTGTTCTTGACAGGCTGTCTTGGTGACAATGAAAGATGGGTCAAATACAGTAGACAGTTTGAGGACAATAGAATGTATATCTTTAGAGTATATCTTACTTTAAATGAATAAGTTGCTGAAGTGGTAATATTAGCGGAGTAAATATAAGCCTATGCGGGGATCAAGTAAAGCATATTTCACTCTTGTCTTTCACCTCATTTGCTCATGTGTATATTTGGACACAGTAGTAGTACAATTGACATTCACCTATGAAGCTACCAAATGTTGCCTGGGTAACACAGTATGATACGAACCCATTTGACCAATATTACATCTTTGAAAACTGTAATAGTTGCTCAATGTTCCTTTCCAATAATAACTGTAGTGCTGCACAAGATTTAACACTGGAGAAGACTGAACAAAGAACTACAAAACTAATATTAGAACTCCACACATTTCAGTTTATTGTGCTAAAATAGAGGATTAGCACATTTTTACAACAAAGCAAAGAGAGACTATTTTGTTTTTTTGCAAGAAATTTGAATACCTGAATTGCAGCCTTTCCTTGAGTTGAAATTGTGTTTCAATTTTGATTGTTAGGTTTCAGTGAACCATTGACAACTCCTGATGAATGAGGGGTTACATCGATATATACTAGACAATTATGTTAATTGTACTGCAGGAGTAGGTGTAAAAGTAGTAGCAGCTGTATTTGTAGTAGCCGTAAAAGTAGCTGTATTTGTAGAAGTAGCAGCAAGAGTAGTAGCAGTTGTATAAATGTTTCATCAATAATTCTTTCGTCTTGTGGTAACGCTACAGCCACAAAAAACAATTTCCATAACACAATTTTGCTACGAATCACAAGTCACAGTTTTGTTTATTAAATTATGGATTTGTACAAAAGCTGAGAAGACGTGACTGTGTGTTGTCAGGGAGAATCGCTCTGGCCTGGAGTGCCAAGTCAGTCAGTTTTATTGTGACACCATCAGGTACACAGGGACTATGCATGAGGCTGCAGTCGGCACATACAAATGAGCAACCTCTCTATGCCCATAGTAAATTCAATACACAGCGAATGCAGAGGACACAGAGGCGCGCTTACATAAGAGCCAAATGTAATCTCACGTTGGAGTTATATTCGCTGATTATGCAAGCAGAACTACTGATTGATGACTCACCCCAAATTCAATTATCATCCTAAACAGTTTTATCTGGGAAATCAGATTAGGAATTTTGTTGTATAAAAAGTACCATGTAAATCAAAGAGACGAAGGGTTATTTCTGGTAGCGTCAATTTGTTTTCCAAAGCGGCGACATTTATGAGCTGCTTTTTTCTATGAGGCAATTCAAAGTTTGTGGGTAAGTTTAGAACCTTATGGAGATAGGGTAAAGAATCCATTATATACGGTGCTTTCTTCTAGTTCAGGGCCATAAAATCCTCTAAAATGATAAGGAATCTCTTTAGTCTTTAGTTTCTATATCGACATCAGTGCTACTCAAACTCTGGGTATCAAGTGATGTACTCCGAAATGTATACGGCGTAACTTTTCTGGTAAAGGGTCCGCCACCTGGTATCCTTTATAGTTTTGCTTAAGTTTTACAGTGCCTATTAAAGTACAGTATTACGCTCCACAAGTTACGAATCAGATCAGTGGAGATGCAAGCCCATTCACAGTAAGAAAGCACAAATTAATGCAAGGTAGATTAGTTTAATTGCATATAAAATAGTTTTGGCAAAGCTAACATCTCCATGCAGACAAGCAGTCTCCACCAGAAAAGACACTTAGTGCACTATTCATTCATAATAAAAATCAAATGCAAACCTCTAGTGTTTATGCCCTTGTTTGTGCATGGTGTAATCCTGGGTTAGACATGGTTTCGTGCTGGTCTAGTGGTTTGTATCGAGATTTTGAATTTCTTAAATCATGGTGCAGTTCATTTTATAAGCCATTTCTAGGTTAATCCGTGCTTTATGAATTAGTCCTGATTTGGGCTAATTTTAGTCCCTGATAATAACTCTTTGAAACTCTTGCACAGTATATCTGCAGTGGGGCTGCTACAGTGCCTGACTCCAGTGTGGGGTGCTGCAGACTGTATAGGTGCTCTTGTTCCCCTATGTCCCCCTGTGTGTGCATGTGAGAATAACACAGGAGCTGTACTCACGGGCATGGTTTGGCTGCCGTGGAGAGCACTGATTGCAGACTGAGCCTCGGTGTGTGTGGAGAACTTGACAAAGGCACAACCTGGAAAAGAGGACACACATCAGATGTATTCAATTTGTTGTTACATTTCAGATACTGTAATAATAGATAGTAAATTACAGTTGACACCCTAAAAATGAGTGTGCGGCGTGAGATAGTGAGTGCTCAGCAGGCTGTCCCGGTCTGGGTATTAGGCGAGCAGACAAGCAGGCAGGAGCTGCAGGCTAAACATTGCACTGATGAAGCAGAAAAGCATGCTATTTAGCACCACATGCCTGTCTGTGCATATTAAAAGCTGGCTAAACTGGATAATCTTATAGCGTTTTCTAAAAGAGGATAACAGTTCCATATTGCCCCCGCAGCGACACGTTCCGATCAATAGAGTGAAAATGAAAAAGTCCAAAAGCTCTGAACAAAGAGTCTGCTGACATTCTTCTGTTCTGTACACTCTGACTTTCATCTTTTTGAATGGTAAAGAATATTCTAGTGCCCAGATCTGGACTGAACCAGAAATATTATAGTTATATATTAAGAAATAGCTGATAGTTATAGTTCTATTGAGTTATTGTTTCTTTATCAATTGAAACCAAACCAAACAACAAATAGTAGTAAAATTAGAGTGACATGAGTTTTACTTCAGATGCCCTACCCTCAATTTAGACTTGAACACAACCTCGAAGCTGTAATTTGAAAACGTAATTGTAATCAGCAGAGGTAAATTGACCATTTTAAGTCAATAGAGTATGTTTAAACATAATTTATTAGCTATGGCCTTGAACAATTCAGGTCAAATAGAAAGTATAGAAAGTAATATGAAATGAAGTCACGTCTCCAAACTGTGTAAGAAGAAGCCAAGAGCCAAGCACACAGAGCGCACATGTAAAAGATGAGTGAAAATCTGGCCAAGAATGATGTGAGAGGAAATAAGGTTTGCAGCTGCACCTGGGCCCAGGCTCTGAGCCGCTGTGGGCCCTTGTAATAACACCCCATTTCACTTCTTTTCAACTTTCTTCTCTGTTCTTATTAAATATTTCATACTTTGTTCCCCTTATCATTTATCCTCCTTGACCCGGCCGTGCTGACATTCTTAGACCCTTAATGGGCTTATACCGCGGTGAACAGCGGCCAATCCAGACGCCCATTCAGCTGTCAAACCACTAGCACCCTGACCTCGATAAGGACTCTGATATCAACCAGAACAACCTACAAGGCACGCTTTCCATTCTATCGCACAGGCTCATTATAAATGACACAACTACCTGACATCAAATAGTCACTTAAAATGTTCTAGATTCACCTGTACTAATCGAGCATTACATTACGACCACAAGATTTTAAGAGCAGCTCTATATAGGCTTGTCATAATGATTACAATATCGACTCAGTACATGACAGATGGAACAATATATTTTGAGGCTCAATATTTATTGTGGGTACTTTTTCTTTGAAATAGTGGGGAGCTTTTAGCCATTTTTATCTATTCCAATGTAATTTGAGCTGTAAATAACTGCTATAGCTAATTATTGGTTCATTCTGCTATTTATTTGCTGCAGCTCAGGCTTTTTAATGATACTGTCTCTTTAAAAATGGTTTACTGGGATTATCCTGCTTTGTGTCAGTGACATAAAATGGTTTCAGCATTATCATTTATTGCAGTATATCTTTGTAGCCGTATTGTATATCGTGCTTCAAAATTTGTTATCGTGCCAGGCCTAGCTCTATATGAGGCAAATAATGTGTAATCTGATGTGTAACGAAACAGCATTGACTTCTTAACAGTTTGAAACAGGACTGCATAATATCACGATCAAATCAAAATAACAATTTGAGTCAAATCACAAATCCCATGCGTCATACTTCTGCAAAATCGTGCAGCCCTGAAACTACAGCTCCTCTGTTAGATTTTCTCAGTGTGGTGAACTACAATGTGCATCACCTGGCACTGGTTCAGTTAACAACTTATGAAATGTTGATAAATATTCATAGGAAAACTCTACATGACCTGCAGTGAAGAGATGCTCTGACTTGAATGTCTAACCAACACAATTAAGGCCTTGTCAAACTCATTTAAATTCTTACATTTTCATTCAGAAAAGTAGAGGTGAGAGATAAATTGAGAAATTTATAATATAGCAATTGCGTTGGCATGATTTTTACTTTATCTGCCATGTGGTATTAAAGGCTTTTTATTATTTTGTACTTGCTGAGTGCCTCAGTTTTTTCAACTTTGTATTTGAGACTGGTCGCTACAATGAAGAGTACCAAAAGGACAATTCTGCACAATTTTTATATCCAATTATATATCCAATTTTGTATGTCCATTGATTTGGACAGTTGCAAAATTGTAATCTAACAGTTTTAAACACTGCAAAAAGATATATGTGATCTTTGTGTGATCTTTCATTTAATCATCTAATCATTGTGATCTTTATCATTGCGATAATAGCAAACAAAAACTCACCAGCTCAAAAAAACAAAAACAAAAAAAACTGTGTAATGTAATCTGTGTATTCCCTGGTAGGGCTGGGAACCACAGGGTCCCTCACAATTCAATACAATACATGATACATGGCTCACAATGATATTATTATTATGGCAACATGCAATAATCAATATATTGCACATGATACTAAACAACAACTTGTTGTGCAGTCACAAAAAAGTGCTAAAAGATACCAAAAAATACACTGATACAGCAGCCCACGATAACGATACAACATCACCAAATTCAGTATCATGATATACTATACTTTAAACATTTTTTGCACAGCTTTGTTCCTTGGCAGTGGTCATAATGTTTTGCTTGATTGAAGTAGCTCATTTTTGAAGTGAGCAGACTTTCATTTTAGACATACCACAGATATCACCAGTGCTACTTCCCTCCACGCTCCTGTCCTTGCAGTTGGACACTTGAATCGTTTTGACATCCATCGCTCCCTTTTTCCTCCTCCCCCCAAAACCGCCAACTCACGACTTCAAACCCCCATAGATATAATTCCACAACAATTTCCATAAGCACTGACCGGGGAATAGGCTTTAGACACATGAAAAAACACTCGTCCCTCTGCTCTTTGCCGCATGTCAAAGGGAATTCTTGTCTCCCAAAGTTTGGCAGTAGTGAAAAGCCTGGGAGATATCAGCTGTACAGTAGTCCAACCTATACTGTACGGGTCAGTGCAGCCATTTTAGAGAAAACTGAACTAATGCAGTTAAGGGAGAGAAAGAGCCCTTTAATAGATACAGATTTTCAATTAGATTTTTTTAATTAGCTAAAGCAAAGACATTTTTTAGAAACATTTTGAGCTATACAGACTAGTAAGAATATTTGAGTATTGATTCACCTTTCTTTATTAAAAAATGTCATTTGCAATGTGCTGTCCAACTGAGGCAGATAAAAGGAATTTTGAGACAAATGCTGAATAAATGGTGAGCAAGAATTTGATGACTCAGCATTTTTATACCACTGACATTTTTCCAATAACGCCTTTTATCCCTGCTGCAATGTTTTACTCTGTGTAAAAACTGTTAAAGCATGCCTCTTTGAGCACTATGAATGATCTCTTTCAGGAAACTTTAAACAAAAGAATCCACTATTATCCTGTTCAAGTTTGAAGAGTCTTAAAAGCAATTGGATTTTGAGGTTCCTGAGTACAGCACTTTGTGAAACAATAATATGAAGGTGTATCAGTGTATGAAAGAAGAAAAACATATTACGAGGTATAGCCTTCTGCCAAGACACTGATTCTATTGCACAATGGTCAAGGTTGACTGTAGGCCTATATCTTATTGTAAAGAATGAAAAAAATACGTATTGATTTTTCCAAATTCTATTAATGACAAAAAAGAGATAAAAAATATATGTGTGTGTGTGTGTGTGTGTGTGTGTGTGTGTGTGTGCGTGTGTGTGTGTGTGTGTGTGTGTGATTTTAAAGGACCCAATTTGTTTAGCCCCAGTACAACTATACCGTATAAGCAGCTCTTGAGGTCAAAATAAGTCCACTGTGTACTGTCTGCATCTAATTATAAAGCGTTTTATTGTTGTTGTTAGCTTTACCATCAGAGCAAAACTCCACTGTGGCCTCTGAAAGTTGTGAAAAGCGCTTATAAACAATAAATAATTAAGATGCTCAGAATGCATGTAAGTAAGTGAGGAATAAGAGGAATAACTTTGGACTATTTCAAACTATTTCAATTGAACTAGTTCTGTTTTTCATGTTTTTAAGACAGAATCACAGGTACAGTGCCTTTAGAACTGAAATACATTATATTTGATATTTATCAGGACAATGTTTTTTCCTCACTTCAAAAATCTACTGCAAAGTCAAACCAAGGATTCTTCAGCTTCACTCCTCATTAAAAATCCCATACATCAATCAAAATATATCTGATATAACTAGTTAATTTATATATACCGGGAAGATTGACACATACAAAATTTGACTAATTATATGAGAATGCTGTCTGACCCACATCTGATGCATATGTCACATGTACTTTCCAACCGTGGGGAAAAAGCTGTCAGTTGTGCAGCCCTGACCTAAATGAAGTTGACAAGTGTACGATGGTTCCTACCTTTGCTGTTTCCATCAGGACCTCTTAGGACCGTGCACTCCTCGATCACTCCGTAGGGTTCGAAGAGGCGGTAGACATCTTCCTCTGTCTGCTGTTTGTTTAGCATCCCCACAAACAACTTCCTGTCTTCTAAAAAACACAGAGAAAAAAAACAAGAGATGAACTTACAACTTTGAGCTTAAGGGAAGTAAACAGAATGCATTTGAAGAGATGGATGTGGAGTGGCTGTATACATAATAAGAGCTGTTTTAGCATGAGTGACACTGGGGTTTCTTCTGCGGTTTGTTTGGTGTTTATGGGCAATCAGATGGGATAGAAAATAAATGCAAACATGTACAAGAGTCAGAGGGGCTCACTAAAAAAGCTCTTTCATTTTGTGGCTTTAAAGTAAGTACATAATACAGCACATGGGCATGACATGACCGATGGTTAGACCAGTCCTTATCAAAATCATGTTAACAAATATTACATTTTTGTAGTTTTTCTTTAAAGGGTCCATATCACGCTCTATGTTATAATGTTGTTTCCTCATCACAAATATACCTGGAGTTGTGTTTTGTTTCATTCATGTTTCACACACAAACCCTGCATATTTAGGCTGAGTTCTCACCTTGTGATGTCATGTGGTAGTACAGAAAGTGCTCCACTGGGTTTTTAAACTCCACACACATTTACTACAATACGTTTGAATAATTTGTAGTCCTGGATGCCAATGTCTACTGAACGAAAGGTTAACAGTAGCTGTTAAGTTGACTTAACACTTTAAATACCACTTGTAGATCAAGACAGTCTAATAATACAGATGTGCATGAAACAAAACACAACTCCAGGTATGTTTTTGATGAGCTAACAACATAACATGGTTTAAAGCTCCAAAGAATCAGTTTTATGAAATATAGGACCTTTAAGTAAGTGAATCAAAAGCATAAGAAAAAAAAGGCTTACACTACATTACTAGAGTAATACAAAATTTATAATAAATTGTATTCATTCATCTTCATGTTTGTTCAAAAAAAGTGAACGACATTTTGGAATAATCTCACAATAGCTCTTTTGCTACATCCATTTAAAACTGCTTTGTCTGAAATTAATCTCTTAAAGAAGAAATATTATGCTTTTGTCTGCTTTACAGTTACAGTCTGTGACATCTGTGAATAATAATGTTAGATTTTTGACATTTTATATTGCAATATTTTTCTAAACTGACATTAAAATATTTAAGTCCACTGAAAACTGTGACGCTGATTTCCACCTGCATTCCTATGGTACATCATTGTAAATGTCATCACAACAAAGTGCTGTGCTGTCGACCCATGCTGCCAGCTTTGCCTATGGACAGTTTGTGGTAGTGAACACATTTTTTTTTCCTATTGAAGCTTGTATGGTGGGTAGGGAAATACAGTAATTTTTGGAGCAATGTCATCTTGAATGAAGATTAAAGATTACTCAGACATGCGTTAATCAGTCTGTGGGTAAATGGGGTAGATGAGAAGCCATGTTAGAATGCTATTATTATGATATTTTCTGAATTATGTTATAATGTTAATTTGTCATCAAAAACATATCTGAAGTTTTGGTCTTTGTTGTTTGAGTAATCCTTTATTATTATGTCTACATCTCCATAGCTCAAAATGCTCTGTTCCACCTGGTGATGTTATATAGTGGTAGTTTTTAGGATAACAGCTACCTTTTACCTTTTGTCCAGTAGGAATTGACAGTTCCAGGGCTGATATTATCCAAATGATTATAGTGAATAAAAACACAGTGGTGCACTTCCTGTAATACCACATGACCTCACAAAGTGGAACAGAATGTTTTCTGTTTGAGAGGAGTCTAAATATGCAGAGTTTATGTGTTAAACATGTGTGAATGAAAGAAAACAAAATATATAAAGCGCACTACTTTTGGTCACTCAAGTACACAACACCATTATGGCAGGTACTGACCCATGACTAACCAATACTTCTTTAAGTTATTCATTACACCAGTTAAGTAGGCTATGTAACAAATACCTTTAGGTGAAGCCGCAAGTGTGATTGTTTAACTATGATTAATGGCATAATATGGTTAATCACAGCTGAGAACTAAAAGCACTTAAAAATACCCAAGTTGATTAAAAAGCGGACTGTCCCACAGCACACGAACGCAGCATTAGTCCCATCAGGAGCGCTCCTGTGGCTGCTGGGGGTAAGTGAGTGGTCAGCAGCTCGAGGAGAGGGCAATGGGAGGACTAATGAAGAGGTTTCAAATCCTGACACACACACTCACACACACAGAGCCCGACCCAAGACAATGAGCACGTCTTTGGCTGTTTAAAGCACCAGGGGCCCACACTCTCTTACTCCTACACACCACACTGCACTCTCCTTCTCTTTCTCTCCTCATCCCTCTTTTCACATTTTCCTCTTTTCTTGCGCTGATTCTACATTTTTCACTCTCATTCTTTCCCGCGACCTCCCTTCCTCTCTTTATCTCTTTCTTACTCTACTAATTGCTGCTGATCCAGTGTATTTTTGTGTAGCCGGAGAAATATTTCAGCTGGCTCTTTACTGAACAATAGTTTGTCTCTCTTGTGGGAGCGACCAAGGCTGGGAGACATGCCATGAATAACGCTGACTTTTCAATAGATAGCCTGTATGCTACTGAGTCCTGTTAAATGCTTGGGGATCTGATCTTTACCTTGACCTGACAGACTGTGTTTACTGATGTGCTCAAGCCCTGTATGATTAATGCTACAGTTCAGAGCGTCTCTCCCGGCAGCATACGCACTAAAGCCTTCTCTTTTGTTCAGCGCTTCTCAAACTCTGACCCATGAAGCCACAGCGGTGAGACACGGAGAGGAGAGGCGACCACAAGGAGGTTGAGAGGGGCATAATTTGCTGCCAGGAGGTGCATAGGGCTGTCAGGAGGTCCCATGACGAGGGCGGAGCGCACAGTGATCTGTCGTACCATGACCCGGACACAAGCTAATGCCCACAACCATACAAAGGAAGCAAAGACTATGCACTGCTGCTTTTCAGATACTGTGCTTTACAATGTTAGTGTCTTTCAATTCAATATATGCAGCTGAAGCCTTAATGAATAAGAGTGCTTACATTATGAAACCACAAATACACTGAAATATTAAAGACTCCCGCTTCACCATTATCATTCTACAATCAAGCATTTTTGAGAAATGTGTGCTGTTTTGGCAGATTGTGCTGCCCACTCTGAATCAACTTACTGAATCTTACTGAATTAACCTCTATTAAACCGGTGAATAGCACAGAGCACTTCGAGGTACTTCTGAGTGCTATGTTGTTGTAGCCCTTTTGGTTCAAATGACCCCAGTTTTCAAACAAATTTTTGGTAACCCTTTGTTGCTGAGCTCTGAGTCCTCATACCAAAACTATTGATTGTACAGTTTGAATGTTCTCTCTGAAAATTTGAACCAGGTGGTGCCCAGTGTGGATTTTGCGCTCTGCAACCACCAATGATGCACCTTTAAAATAATCAGCCGTGTCAGAGCGTTGTCTGGGGAGGGGAGTCCCTGGCGCAGGCTCCTTATTGCAAGTGGCAGGATCAGAGGCTATGTATCAAAATGGAAGTGATGCAATGTGACATGTGTCAGGGTGGATTGGAGAGCATTTATCTGCAAAAAAAAGGAAAGCCCTGAACTGGAAAATGAAAGGCCAAGATGGTCCTTCCTTTTGCTGGAGGGAGAATATAAATTCCAAGCTCGGATGCAGCGGAGATGAGTCGGAGGAGAGGCGGAGGGGTGAAGGGGGATGGGTCGCGCGCAAATATTCCTGAATTGTGCCAGAGCATATCTCCCATATACACTGGGAGAGTGCACTAACCCCTGCACTCCTCCTGCCCTTACTTTAGCTATAACTCTGCCCCCTACTCAAGCTGATGATGAGAGTCTGACAAGTTTTGAATTAATGCATGACCTTTATCAATTTCATATGAGCTTTACGCTGGCGATCATACCAGGAACAGCTCTCATGTGGCATGTCTTAAAATACGACACCGCATCCATCCTTCGGGCCAGTCACGTCCAGCTGAATGGAATAATATTTATAGGACTGCAAGTATAACCTGTTCATTGGCCACTATATATCACTGCCTTTGTGCTCCAGAAGCTTCAATGGGTTGCAAAGAAAGAAAACCTTGTACACATCTATACGTTGTGCAGGATTTGATCAGGAAAAGGCAGACTAATCTGGCACACCTATAAGCTTGCACGGTGCACTGAGAGAGATGCAGCGTTATATAAATGTGATGTTTACAGCGAGAGAGATGGAAAGCATGTTCGGCAACGTGAGTGTGCTTTGAAAACAAGCTAACAATGCATGAAAACACATCATCGAGAAGATCGGTTCCCCTGTCTAGGATTGGGCTGTGGCAGCTCTCAACAAAAATCCTACTTTGAAAATGTACACGTTTCATTTACCATTCGCAGAAACAGTATGTAATTTATCTAAAGCAATATAGAACACAGGTTATACAAGTTGTTAATACACACCTCCAAAGACTGAGGGTATAAAATGGTTGCACTAACTTTTGACATTTGAGCTTTGGTCTCAATAGAATGGCCTGATCATTGTTTTCCAGGGCTTTGACAAGAGCATGAGATTAAACCGTTGTCATGGACTTGATCTCCAACAATATCTTTTGTTGTTTTTCTTTCTTTCAAAATCAACTTTTCTGGACTATCTTTGACCATTTTAAAGTATCTCAAGCATGAACAATTCAATTTTGACATGATTTTTGAATAGAAGAGAATGAATGAAGAGATTAAAATGTTATCATCATAGAACAACAAAAGGGTTTTACAGTAACACCAGCTACTTTTACTAATTCTAATAAAAAAGTTGACAAAGCATGTGCACCTTTATAGACATGACTAGGTCCTGAACCACTGTTACCGCTGCTTGTCCTCTTTAGGTTAGCCAAAGTATGTACTCAGGGACGTCCTAATAAAGCGCTTTAAAGGAGTGTGTAAATGTCAAAACGCCCATTGAGATATATTCCACGAACATCAAGCATTCAGGGTGATTTACATGGGACATGCCAAGAATAAGACCCGGCTTTATTGTTTGACATCATCTTCCTTGAAAGTCACCTAGGGATTTCTCACTGGC